CAGGATAGGTTCAGAGTCCCAAGAAGTAGCTCCAGGGAGGAGAGGGAAAGAGGCTGGGTTTTGATGCATGTGTAGGAGCTTGCCAAACAGACGAGGGGTGAGGTGGGCACCCCAGGCAGAGAAAATATGGTTAAGGAGTGGCCTCATCCACTCAGTGGAGGGGACAACACCTGTCCCCCACCTGCCTGCTCTGTGGGTCTCCTGAGCACACCTTCCAACCCCAAAATCAGAACCCGTTCTTCAGCAAAGGGCTCCTGTGCTCTTGCCTAGACCCATGCGCCAGTCTGAAGGGCTGGGTTTGCACGTCAAGGTGGAGGGGAGTGCAAATGCTGCGGGCAGCGCTGGGGTTAGAGCAGGACCTCGCGGGGAGTCGGACCCAGTCCCCCCGCACAGACGCCTGGGTCAGCGTCGCCCTGACCCCCTTGCCCACCCTCCTGCCTCACCAGTCACCTGGGCCATCACCCTGCCCCAGCCTGGACAGCGGCATCCCTCCGAAGGCTGGCGGCTCGGTGAACAGCCAGTACCAACAGCTGCCCGGAGAGCGCTAAGCCCCTCCCCGGCCCAGAAGCAAAATGACACAGCCCTGAGGGGCAGAGCCAGGGGTGCGACCGGCAGAGGGTTCAGGCAAACAGGTCCCAGGGCTCGGTCACGAAATATGCTATTCTGTTTTTTTTTAAGATTTTATTTACTTATTTTTAGAGAGAGAGGAAGAGAAGGAGAAAGAGAGGGAGGGAAACATCAATGTGTGGTTGCCTGTCGCACACCCCCAACTGGAGAACCGGCCTGCAACCCAGGCATATGCCCTGACTGGGAACCGAACCAGTGACCCTTTGGCTTGCAGGCCGGTGCCCAGTCCCCTGAGCCACACCAGCCAGAGCACAAATCACGCTGTTCTTAAAAGGGGGGAGCAAGCTTTATAACGGAAAACCATGGTTTATGTTTGTTTGTTTTCAGGTGGAGCCTCCCAGCTTCCTTATAACTTGTCAGAAAGGTGGGCTGTTTCTCCACCACGTGCCTGACTATGGTCCGGGGAGTGAGTGTCTTCCCGAAACAAAAGGTGGGTAATTAGCACGTAGCCGCTAATGATAATTTCAGAGGGGTGAGAGCCCAGCACCCTTCTGAATGTATTTGCATTTCACTGAACTCCTTTTTTTCCCTCTCCTCTGTGGTTTTTTGTTGTAACTGTAATTATTTTAATTGAGATCTTCCCTAATGAAAACAAAGAGCGACGTATGTGGGAGGGTCGGCTCCTTGTGAGGCCACCAGAACGGCAGCGCCACGCCCCCTCCTGGGTCAGCCCCCTCCTGGGTCAGCCCCCAGCTCCCCAGGAGCCTTGCACTCTGGGGGCCGGCCCCCCACCCAGCGGCGGCAGCGGGTCTTAGTTTGTGTATTGGCCCAGTCCAGACGGACAGCTCTGTGTACTGGGAGCCGAGAGCTCGAACTTTTATTCTGATTCTCTGCCGTTGAGCAGGGGAGTGACCTCGGGCACCGGCCGCTCTGTGCCTCAGTTTCCTGCTTAGTGCCAAGCCTGCCTGTGGCCCCGATGTCCTCAGCCCGGTCCGGCCATGAGCCCCCCGCCTGCTGGCTGGTTCCTGTTCTCGGCACCCCCACCAAGGTGATGGTGTCACAGGGGGAGCACAATCTGGTTTCCTGTCCTCCAAAATCCGCTTTCTAGAAGCTTCTACCCCACATGGCACAAAAACCAGAGGATGCCGTCAGGCCCTGCCCTCTGGGCACGTAATGTCGGACTCCAAGGAGCCACAGACGGCAGCCAGGCACAGGCTAGTGGGCGACATCAGGAGGCGGACCCCTGATCCCACCGAGAGGCCTGGGTGCTCAGACTCTGACCTCCCAGCACCTTGCTCTGGGCAGGAGCCTGTCCGCTCGTATGTCCCCTCCAGACTCTTCATTCTGGCTCAGCCTCCAGGGGCCACCTCACCTCTTCCTCCCAGTCTCCATGCGGCCGAGTCAGCGTCACTCAAGGCCCCATGCCCAGGCTTCTGCCCTGCAACCCCGCCGCTCGCGGCCCCCAGTTCTGGGAGGCACCTTGCATTTGGTGGGCTCTACCGGAGCGTTCCCTGACGCCAGCTGGCTGGCCTGGCCTCTCTCTGCAGACACAGGGATGCAGGTGAGCACGGAGGCGCCCATCTAGGCCTACCCACTAGGTGCCCGCTAGGTGTCTGCCAACCTAGATCGGGGCCCTAGATGTGCCCAGCGCAGCAGGTGCAGTGAGCTGTGCCTGCTCAAAGGGGCCCGTCTCTGACGCCCCTGGTTTCTGCCTCAGCGGCATGGGCCTAGCCTGCCCCTGCCCGAGCTCCCTGGGACTTCTGCTGCTGTGGCCAGTCCCTGAGAGGGAACACTGATGCTCCTGGACTGGAAACCATGGGTGGAGGCCACAGCGTGGCCACGCATGGGGCCAGCAGGCGTCCAGTCAGCAGAGGACACAGGGGGACAGCAGAGGACGCTGGCGATCAGTCCCTCTGGGACTTCTCCGGAAGGACCGGTCCAGAGGGCCCCCCTCCGCCGGCCCTGCCCCTGGCACCTCGCTCTCCCTCCCTGGCCACAGACCTTTCCTCCCAGGGGGGCCGAGTGACTCAAGGGAGGAAACTCCACCCTGATTTTTCATTGTTTTTGCAGAAAAGTTAGTTTCTGCCAAAAGGGAAAAACTAAAATTCCCAAAAGGAACAGCCTCCCCCCCCCCCCCGCCCCACCCCCAATGGGCGTTGTGACCGCCTTCATCAAACCTTGGCCCGGCTGGCCATGGCCAGGAGCCGGTCGGTTCACCCTCCTCTGGGGCTGAAGAAGGCCCTGCTCTTCCCTCTTCAGATCAGAAGCAAAAGGCGGGTTGTAAAGAGGGTCGTGAGTAGGATGGCAAGACACATCTTGTCCCTGTGTCCCCGAGTCACTCAGTCATTCCCCAGCGTGCCCAGACCTGATGTCTCTCAGTGGGTTCGGTTTTCCTCTTCTTATAAGTCGATCAGATTGCAGGAGGGCCAGCCCTACAGGCCTCGGCTGAACTTGAACTTAGTCACCTCTTCAAAGATCCTCTCTCCAAATAAGTCACTTTCTAGGTACCGGGGCTCAGGGCTTCAACACAGGAATTCTGGGAGAGACAAAGTTCAGTCCATAACACGATATATGAATTGTATCTCAAAGCTGTTTTATTTTTAAAGAGAGAGAGAGAAAGACCCCCACAACCTTTGCCGAAGAAGGGGTTCTGATTCTTCTCCAAGGGGAGCTGTGATTCAATGAAATTCTTTCTTACCTCTCTAGATCTAAGCCAGGCCGTCCTGCCCAGCTGCCCCACCCTCCAAATGGGCAGCCGAGCCACAGGCAGGCCGGTAGTTTGGGGTCTAACAGACCTGACTCCCACCCCACCAGGCGGGGGCGCTCCATGGGCTGAAGCTTCCCCAGGAGCAGGAGGGCAGGCATCCCTCCAAACGTCCTCAAGGAGCCTCTCAGCTCTGCGGTGGGAAGCGCCAGGGGGAGCGATGCTCGGCCAGTCCGCACAGGCTCAGCTCGGGGACCCACCTGGCCTCGGGTGGCTCAGCTCACTGCCAGCACCGGGCACAGGCCTGAAGGCCTCGCTGTGCCCCAGGCCATGCACGTGACTGAGGAAGCTGCGGTCAGCTGGGGAAGGGGATCCCTGCTCTGTCCTCTCCCCTGCACTCGGCACACAAGGGCTCCAGAGGCAGCCTGGACGCAGAGCCCTGGTGTCTGAGGGGTCTTGAGGGCTCAGCGGCCTCGCCAAACATGCCCCCAACCCCCGGCTGTTTGTCGGGGCCTGCAGCCCCTCGTGACCGGCGAGGAGCAGGGTGGTCACAGGTGGGGCCTGTCTCCCCGTGTCAGGAATCACCCTCCTGGGCGCTGTCTCCATTCTGGCGCCTCCGAGGCCTCCGTGGGTGTGAACTAGTTAGTGTGGACACGGGAGCAGGCGGGGGTGGGGCCCGCCCATCGGCTGTCCGAGTCGGGTCATCCAGGCACTAAAAGCCTTCCAAGAGCCCCTCCGGGCTCCGCTGCAGCAGAGTCCCCTGCAAGTCTGGTCTCAGGGCCGAGAGAGGCGAGGTGAGGTGGGAGTCGGGTGAAGGTGGGGTGCGTAAGGAAAAGCACCCCTCCAGTGGACTCTATGGCCGCAACTGGTCATGAGGAAATCCAGGCAAGACCATGGGAGGGGAGAGGCTCATATCAGCATGTGATGGCCTCTCCGTATCCAGGAACCCCTGACCTCGGATGTCTGCAGGTTGGCCCTGACCTGGTAGCTGGGAAGACCCTCGTCCTCAGGGCCACTAAAAGACAGTGGGGGGGGCAAGGGGGTCCTCTAGACCCTGCTGAGGTACTGATCAGCTCGGCATCTCTGGCAAGTCACTTCGTTCATTCCTTTGTTCGTTCATTCATTCATTCAGCAAATTCTCCAGGGCATTAAAGGGAGGGGTTCTCCTCTCATCAGCAAACCCCAGCCTTCTGGCCTCCACCTGACCCAGAACCAACCACTGCTCACCTTCCCCAAACTGTCACTCTGGTCCCAGACCACCGAGTACTGCAGTAGCCCCTGCCAAGGCCCTGTGCTTGCCCTGCCCCGCCCTCCCCGGCACACGCACGCACAGCAGCCCAGCCCTGTCAGAGTGAGAGCCCAAACCCTGCTGCCAGCCTGTCGCTCATGCCCACGGGCCTCCTCTGTCCTCAGCCACGCCTGGCAGAGCGCACTGTGGGGGCCCGGCACCTGCGCATCCTGGGCCTCGGACCCGCTCCCCTCAGACGTCTGCTCAGCACCTCCTCACCTGCCCCTGGTTTACAGGGTCATCACACTTCTTCCAGAAAGGGCAGGGCAGTGAGCGGTTTCAGCTTCGAGAGCCGTGTGGTCTGGGTGGCAACACTCCCCCTCGGTTGCAGCCCCCGACAGCACCAGGGGAAAGAGCGTGACTGCGTTCCAATAAAACTTTATTTGTGTTCCAATAAAACTTTATTTGTAAACACAGGTGATGGTGAGCCAGCCTGGGCCCGAGGCTGGTCTAGAGGAACGGCCCCCTCCAGGCTCTGGCTGCCAGCACTCACTGTCACCTGCCCCACTGGAACTCCATGCCACCAGCACGGGGACGCCCCTCTTTTCCTCGTTGCTGCGTCTCTAAACCCCGCAACTGTGCCTGGCTGTGACAGGTACTCACTGTATTAGAAATAGAGAAATAAAAACGTCACAGACCGTTAAAATTTTAACGAACACAACAGAAAATCATAGCCAACATACACAAATATGTATTTATGTTATATGTACACAAATGCATATCTGTACACTAGTCTATAATTATTCTGTATTCTACACGTTACACGTCTATTCAGCACCCTATGCTCGTGCTCTGTGGTGGTTATGCACCAACAAGGAAACAGCCAGTGAGGGGCGGCATCGCTTGTTCGAGGTCGCAGGGCCGGGAGTAGCCAGGCCCTCCCCAAGCCCTCCCCTGGGCGGTGAGGGGTCAGAATGAAGCGGGATCTGTGCGCGAACACCCACGCACTCCTCGCCGGGCTCCAGCTGCAGACGCCCGACCGATGGCAACACGTTTCCAGGGGGATCTGCACGCCGCCCGGCCCTCCCGCCCAGCCCGCTCAGCAGGCAGCATCGGTGGGTCATGCAGGGACTGGACGCCTTTCTCTCCCACCTTTCTTCCCCGGGAAAGGCCAACACCGGCAGCCTTCACCCACCTGACCCCTGGGGCAAAGATCTGACTGCCCCCCAGGGTCTCCCGACTCCGCCTCACGAAGATCTCGACTCACAGATACAAGAGAAAGTCAGTGGTGTTTGAAGGCAATTGCTCCCAGCGAGTGAAACCAGAGATCCGATCCTAAAGGTGCTGTGCCCCGGAGGGTGGCAAGGCGGTGTGAGACGGCCTTGCCCCCCCAGACCCTGGCCACTCTGCCGCCACCTTCCTCCCCTCTTTACCCAGGAGCCACCACAGTCCCGCCCCCTGCCCAGGGCCGTGGGGTCCCAGCGACCTCGGAGAGACCACCCACTTTCACAAAGACTGGAGGTCCTGCTCGCATCTGTTCAGGTGTGTTTCTCTAACAAGGAGGCTGCGGTGACAGGCAGGGGCAGTGACAGGCAGGGGCAGCACAGCCTGCGGGGGCTCCCAAGGCTGCAGGCTCCTCACAGGGAAGCTCCACGGGGGCCTTATTTGGAAGGGCAAGTCCCCGAGCCTCATGAGTCACCCAGCAGGAATGCTTGTGACGTTCCAGGACAAGTAATTACCATCCCTGACCTCTGGGGGCCACTAAACTGGCAGTCACGCCAGCTCAGTGGGCCTGCACAAACCTGAGAGAGGCTTCTAGGTCCCATAGTTCATCCACGAGGGGCACAAAGCCCCAGCAGCCTTGCCCGAGCTCACACTGGGCAGCGGGGGCAGGGGGAGGGGGGCAGCTGGAGGGGGTAGGGAACCCAGGCTTCTGGCTGCACCCAGCACTGCTGGGGTGCTTCCTCGTCGCAGGCCAGGCCTCCAGTGTCTCTCATGCATAAACCAGGGTGAAGGCGATATACCACTTACCACGTGGGCATGGAGGCCTGCGGTATGCAGGAAGCCAAGCTAAGCCTAACGCCGGAGATGAGGATTAGGAAGTGCTCGTCATTTTGAAACCAGAAAAGACACCGGCATCCAGGCTGCCTTTCACTACCAAACCCAATAAGCAATGATAGCAATTGAATCTCTATGGGCCCTTTATTCAGATGGCTGGCGATCTGAGAAGATGGCGGGTCCACACCCTGACAGACCGTCTTCCCTTCTCTTTCCAGGCTAAGGTTTCTATGGCCAGGAATAAACCAGGTGCTGTGAGGGGTTTTGAAATTCAGGGAGGGTTCGGTAGAAGGAACTGCAACATTCCTGTCCTGGGTGGTCAGCTGTTCCCAGGGGCAGGTGGTGCTTGCCCCTCCCCACACACACACAAAGGCCCAGATGCCTCCACTTGCCCCCAGGCGGTGAACTCCTGTGGTGCCCCCGGGGGGTGGGCTGTTTTCCCAGGAGCCAGGGTGAGCCTTGTCTATCTGTAGTTTGAGAAACAAAAGCTTTAACGTGAACTTCACTTGCTGGGCTTCTAATTATTTACCCTAAACTAAACCTTTCCAACTCTTAGGTCCCCTATCAGTTTGTCTTTTGCACACTGACTTGTGTCATTGCTTATTTCTTCTGGGCACCGAACACAGACGTAGATGCAGATTCCACACGGGTGTGGGTGTGGGTGTGGCGAGAGACCCGGGGATACACAGGGATGACCAGTGTCCCTCCGACGCCATCCAGGTGCACTTTCTCCTGTGTTCCACTAGTTCAGAGCTGCACTGATATTGTTTCCATTGTTAAACCAGCTCTCTGCCCCTGGAATAATAAACCCGCCTGGTCCCGTGGTATGGGGTCTGGCCCGTGGACGTTCTCCGTTCAGCGCCGTGGTGCCCACGTCTGTGAGTGCGGGCTGGCCGTAGCTTCTCTCCAGGCCCCGTCCCTGTCAGGGTCAGGCATCAGGGCCAGCCGGCCTGGCGTCCTGAGTCAGGCAGCGCCCCTCCCTGTCGACTCCCTGGGACGGTTAGTGGGAGGTCGGCCCTGTGGGCACGTCCGTCCGTTGTTGATTTGGGGAAGGAGCCACACAGCTGCTCTGCGCTGTGCCTGGGACTCTGTCTGAGGTCTCATCCCCCTCGGGAGCATGGGGGGAGGGGACCTGGAGTCTCACCTACCAAATGCCCCAGTCACGACCTTGAACAGGGTCTCTTCGGAGACTCTGCGCGGCCTTCTCCCCTCGATCCCCTCCCAGCTTCTCTCCGCGTCAGCTCCCAGTACCGTCCGCTCTCCCCCCTGCATGGCTCTCTGCTCTCTCCCTGCTCCCCCCAGGCCCTTCTCAACCCTCTCCCCCTCTCCCTCCCTCTTCCCACCGGGTGTGTGTGTGTGTGTGTGTGTGTGTGTGTGTAAGAGAGAGAGTGTATGTGGTGCCAGCGGCAGTGCCCAGTGCCGGGGGATGCACATACTATTCCTCCTGTCCTGGCCACGGCCACTCACCTGCTCTGACCTGGACGCAGGCCTGATTCTCCCTCGTGCCCCTCCCTGCCGCCATAGCTGCCCCTCCACCACCCCCCCTCCGCTTCCCAGCCCGGCTGGCAGTGGTGGGTGGTGCTCCGGTCTCCTGCAGTTCATGAAACATTCATGAGGGCCCAGTGCCTACCGACTGGGCAAAGGCTGGCTCTGGGCCCTCGGCTGTCAGGAGGGTGACCCTCGGCCATGGCAGAGAGCTGGGAAGGGCAGCCTGGTGCAGTCCTGGCCACAGAGAGGGGCAGCCTCATGGGGGTGTCCCCAAAGTCAGCCCATTGTCACCAAAGGGAGGGGGGCACCCTGTCACCCCATACCAGGCGAGGGTTCCATCTGCACACACACAAGTTCCAAAGCACAGTCCTTGCCGGAGATGGCTAGCTGCCCAGAGGGGTTGCCTGGGCAGCCCACTGCCTCTAGGGGGCGCTGTTCCCCGAACGCCGCTGGAAGGTCAGCAAGGGTGTGCTGCTGCCCGACACCCGCGTGTCTGCGATGAAAACCCAGCTGTGTGTTAAGGATGTTCCCAGGGTGAGAGGCGAAGCAGTGAGTGGTGGCTGCTCCAGGAATCGGGAGCCTGGACAAGGGCACGTGTTCCAGAACCTTCCACGCTGAATTCCCTGAACAGCGATGACAACTGACAGCCTGATGTCCTGGCCCCCTGCCCCCACACCGGCTTCCCCCTCCAGCTGAACATTGGCAGTCAGTCACGCTCTGGCCTCGGGGCCTGGCCCGGGCTCCTCCCAGCTGGCCCTGCCCAGAACTGGAACTGCAACTGAACTGCCTTCGGGCAGGCTTAGAGCGGCCTAGGGAGAGGAATCACCGCTCCTGCTGGAGAGCCGGAGGGCCCACCCCGAGTGGGAGGCGGCAGGAGGAAGCCCCCGTGACACGGACTGTCCCTTCTCACCCCAATGACATCCCACAACTCCATGGGGTCTGGGGTCAGGGGAGCAGGTGTGGGGGGCCCCAGGGCCCAGAGGACTGTGGGATGTTGACCCTGGGCACCAGGGTCCCTGCAGTCCTGGAGAAGGGTCACTGCGGTCCTGCCCAAGCCTGGGGCTTTGTGTGCCCACAGCCAGAGTCCTGCCCACCACCACTCAGGGCTGGGAGGGGTGGCGACCACCTCGGGTGGGGCGGGGGTGGGGTGGGGATCGTTATCACAGAGGAGAGGAAGACTCAGACCCTGGAGGGACTCCCCAGGCTCCTGACCACTGGGAAGGTGGCCAGAGCAAACACGCCTTGCCACTTGGGGTGCAAGCCCTGGCCCTGGGCCAGCACTTGTGCAGGGAGACCCTAGTGAGGGCGCCAATAGACAGGAGGACTTCCTGTTCTGGCCTTCCGGTCCACGCCCTCATTAATTAAAGTCACGTGTGTGTCTCGGGATCCTCGAGAGCAGCTCATCTCCCGCACTTGCAAGAGGACACCCTCTGCCGGACTCCTCCCTGGGCACCTGATTTCAGAAGAGATACTAAGAGACCGCAGTCACCCCAGTGGGGACCCACCCAGCCCTGTGGGAGGGGGGACAGCTGCTCAGAGCATCGGTTGTGAACGCAACCCCCCCCACCCCCGTAACTCAACCCCATGTTTTCAATGCTCCTCCATCACAATGTCTACAGTATCCTGAAGTCACGCAGCAAATGGCCCGAGAGACCCAGAGTCCAACTCCAGCTCGCCAGCAGCTTGGGGGAGGCTGAAGGCGCCAGGCAGGCCCGGCCCGGCTCCGGCCAGAGGCCGCCAGCCAGGCCAGACGCTGGGCGCAGACGGCCACCCTGCGGGGGCCTCCTCTGCCTGCAGTTGCATCACAGGCTGAGCCCCCGGTGCCAACAGAGACGGGGAACAGAAGGAGGAGGCCACAGAGGGAGGGAGGGAGGGAGGGGAGGAGGGAGGGAGGGAGGGGAGGAGGGAGGGAGGGAGGGGAGGAGGGAGGGAGGGAGGGGAGAGCTCTGCTTCTCATTCCCCAGGGGGCCCGGAGTGCTGATGGGAGCAGTCAGCCCAGATCCAAGCCCAGAAAGGAACAATGGCAAGAGGAGAGGCCGGACCTGTTTTCCGCCCTTTACATTTTCTGCTCTGGGATCCAGGGGGCAGCTGGGCCTTTGGGGAGTGTTCCCGGGGAAAGGCCCCACAGTGCCGCACCTCTTTCTGCTCTTGTGAGCCCCAGTGCTGGCGTGGAAGGCACTGGACACACTGGGATGCGAGGGATGGCGGGGGGGGGGGGGACCTGGCTGCAGGATCACACAGACCCTCTCACCCCTCCCACGCCCGTCCTGTTTTATCGGGGTCTCTGTCCACTGTCCCGTCTGCTTCTGCCTTCCCCACTGCCATCCAGGGGTGTGGGGAAGCAGGGGTTGACGGTTCTGTTGAATACAAAACGCAAATCCAGAAGGGACGGTGTTGCTGGGCCCCTGGGGGACTGAGGCGGCCAAGGCCCGCACACTACCCGCCCTGCCCGGGCAGGCTGGGTAAATAACGCCCGAACCAGGCTGCTTTTCAGGTGCATGTATGTGCGGCGGCAAAATATCAAATACAAACTGATTTTAAACCACTACTGAATTCGAAGTAGCTTTCTGTCAGCGTGAGCATCTCAACCCATGAACCCCAGAAATAAAAGCGCCCGCACGTGAAGAGACCCTCAAAGAGGCAGAGGTTCCAGTGTGGCTCACGGGCTGGGGAAGGCAGGAGCCTCGGGCCCTCGGCCAAGCCTTCCTCCCGCTGCAGACGGTGTGGCCTGGGAAGGCCGGGCCTGGGGGGGGTCGCCTGGTCCACCGGCTGGCATGGGCTCGACCTCACTCGGGCCAAGACCAGGACTTCCATCGCTCTGTCAAGTGGGGCCATTGAGAGGATTCGACGAGAGGGTCCAGGCACAGTGGTGGACTCAGGGCCCAGCACATAGTAGGCATTCATAGTAGGCACTCGGACAGTGATGAAGAATGCCTCCTTCACTCTCATCATTACGACTACCATGGCTGCGGCCCTGGGCATTCTGTGTTCGCATGAAGCCGCGTGGCCCTGTGGTTTACCTGGCCACACACACACACACTCACACACGTCGGAGCTGGGTGGGCAACGTGCTTGGATGGAACAG